GAGAAGAGAAGAGAAGAGAAGAGAAGAGAAGAGAAGAGAAGAAGAGCTCTCCCCACGTCAGGGTTGCTGGTGTTGATCTCTGAAGCCTGATATCCTACCAATACCCCATGGCACTCTTTGGACACCTTCTCCTGTGCCCCGTCCATCTTCTGTCACCTGTGAGGCTGGGCCAGAGCAGGAAGCAGGCTGTGGCACAAGAGACCATCCAGAGCGTGTCCATGGGAGGGGGAAGGCGGTGGTGCCGGGCGGGCTGGGGGCCAACTCCCTCTGAGCCAGGCTTTCTTCTCCGCCGGTGCCCCACCCAGCCGCGCCCGTGCCCACTGCCGCCAGAGCCCAGAGGTTTCCTTTTTCTTTTTGCCTAAGGCTGTCTCCTGCCTTTCCTTTGAACTGGGGTGACGGCTCCCCCACACAGTCATTCTCCTCCAGCAATCCCCCAGGCTCTTTCAACAAGGGAGGGCCGAGGGGACCCCACTTCCTGAAATTGCTCTCTCCTCTCTGCTTTGGTCTAGGTACTGCCTGGATTCTCCCTCTCCCTCCAGGATTCTGCACCCACTGCCAAGCCCTCTCCCCAGAGCTCTCCCTGTTCCACACCGGCAGCGAAGGACCCAGAGTTTCCAGTCAAATGTGGAACACAGAGATCCAGAGAAACCCTGGGACTTACCTGGGGTCTCCCATCCACTGAGAGATTGAGGGTTAGAACCTACATACCCCTTCATCACAGCAGAAGTGCAGAGGCTGGACCAGAAAGAGAACCTCCGGGATGAAAAGTGAGCTGACGTCATGATACTCACACACACCCTCCCCACGGCCAGTGTTTGCCAACTGATGCTATGTGGATCTCACCTCACGGTCCTCCAGGAACCCATCTGGGGCAAGCTGGAGAGCAAGCCGGGGTCTTCCCGTGGTCAGTCCCCTCCCATTCTATGATGCCTTGAGACTGTACCAGCTGGTGAGGGGCAGCTGCAAAGCTGTTCTGTTTCCCCAGGGTCACTACCATTGTCTACATGGCAGTGTGTTCTCTGGCCACATACATACAATCGTCAGCATACAGAGACTTGTTGAGCAACTCATGAAAGGTTGTTTCTCCTCTTTCCAGTGCTAGCTCCAGCATCTCCACCTCCAGGAAACCTTCCAAGAAAACTGCCCCCTGGCTCCCTGGTGACAACACAATTAGGGTTAGGGTAGGGTTAGGGTTAGGGTTAGGGTTAGGGTTAGGGTTAGGGTTAGGGTTAGGGCTAGGGTTAAGGGTGACTATACTATTAACACTGTGTTCTTCCAGATCCTATACCTACAAGTACTATCTCAGTGTAGCCATGCAGCCATTGTTCTAATCAGGTATTAGTTTTATTTATAGATGAATAAACCAAGTCAAGTTATAAACCAATATACCTGCCTAGCTTCACCAAGCACTGCTCTTCACAGTAATGCCCATCCTCGCTTTTCTGTTCTCTTCCTATAATACCCTGCCTCCACCTCCATCTGTTTCATTATAGACATGAGTAAGAAGTGGCAAGGGATTACCCTGAATCTATCTACACACACACACACACATACACACACACACACACACACACACAGGCTCACATGTGCATGTGCACACACTCACACAACTGATTTTTCCCACAAACCCTGTGGTTATTCCTGCAGTCTGAAAGAAGTGAATTCCCTTTGAGTAGCCTGGCATAGAGCAAACATTTTGGCAAAGGTAAGTAAAGAAATGAATGCTTAGGCGTATCCCAGAGTGCCTGAGCCTCTCAGAGTTTACCAGCCAGTGCTACAGGCACACTCTCTCCAACATTTCTCAGTGCTGGAGGTAAACAAGGGGCTCCATGTACATCCTCAGATTCCCCCGCTCAGGGTGTAATTGCCTTGCAAGCATGTGCTCCATGTATATTCCTGTGATTGTATGTAACAGGGACACCTCTCATTCCCATCCCCACAAACTGCAGTGCCTCAGAGCCAGGGGCGCCATATTCCCCTTCATTTATTTCCATAAGAGGCCTCACCCAGGGAGACACACAAAACCCAGCAAATTTCACTGAACCTCAGTCCGATGATGGTGTGGGAGGAGCCCTTTTAGAGGCACTTGAAGTACTGTGTATAAACGAATGACTCCTAACTTTGATCACACAGGGCTGGCATCGGGCCCCAGACTGTTCATGGGTTTTGGACTTGTGTATCAAATAAATAGACATAAAGACTTTCTGGTCTCCCCTGGAACTAGAATGGAGGAGGTGGAGGCAGCCACTTCATGACAGGCACTGGCTAGGAAGGAACCTTACCATCCCAGGGTGGGAAGCAGATATCAAATAGTTTTATACTAAAATTCTGTCAAGGAAGCACTAAGAGGGCCCTAGGGTGTCTTCTGTAGCCCACAGGCAGGTCCTAATACTTCCAGGAAGGGACAGGGCCCCCAAGATATCCCTTGCCTGGCTCCCCCTCAAGATTTATCTCTCACTGCCTTCAAAGGCCTTTGCAGAGCTAGGAGGATAGCTCAGAACAGTGATGTGTTTGATGCACAGGCATGAAGTTCTGATTTCTACCCCAGAAGCTATGCAAAAAGAGTCAGGGATGGTGGTCAGCTCTTGGTAATTCCCCAGCACAGGGTGGGGAATACAAGCAGATCCCTGGGACTCCCGGCCAAGATCACCCAATGGGCTCCAGGTCAGCATGGGATACTGTCTCAAAAAACAAAAACAAACAAACAAACAAAAACCCAAGTGGGCAACTCCTAAGAAGTGACGTCTGAGGTTGGCCCCTGACCTTCACACACACTGAACATGTACCTGCATACATGTGCACACCAACATAGACACACACACACACACACACACACACACAAACCGATATGTAAAATGTCCTTGCAGCTTCCCTGAGAAAGCAGAGAAGGAAGGCCCCACCTCTGAGCCACCTATAGATAGTAGAAGCCCCTCCTCCACCACCCACCTGGGACCCCTGTACAGCCAAGGCAGAAGGCATGGTCCTCTCCAGCTCCCTGAAACGCAGTGGATATGGCTGTAAAATTCTCTGCATCACCCAGGACCCACACCTGTCGCTTCCTTCTCCTACCCTCAGAAAAGGGCTTCCTCAACACCCAGAAAGGCTCAGGAAGAGCTCAGAAATCTTCACCTCTCCTAACCCAAAGATGCCCCACATATCAGAGGGCACTGGGTCAAAGTGTCATGGAATTGTTGTCAGCATGGACCGTGGGATACTTGGATCCCCAAAGTGAAACTCTACCTTTATCCCCAAGTCTTGCCAGAAAAAAAAAGTCCACAGATTACTCTAGAAAATTTTGGTTGCTGAGAAATGTGGGCTGACCTGCTTCCCTCTGGAAGGTCCTGTGTCCTCTGCCCCTTGACACAGGCAAGATGCCTCATTTCTGCTGTCCTGAAAGGCTCAATAGAAGTTATTTATAAATTCTTTTTAGCCATCTTCCTTGTCTCCCAAAGAAACAGTGTCATAGACCCCTAATACATAAAATTGCTAGACATGGAGCTTCTGGGGTGTGGTGGGGTGGGCCCAGAGCCGCTGCTCTCTGCTTGGTGCTGAGCCCCTTGCAGCTCTGCTATGAATACCTGTGCTCACCTCTCCCATCATCCCCTGGGGCTGCCCAAGACTTGGTTTGCCCTTCTGGAATATAGATGTTTCTTTGACCTCACAACTGTTTCTTTGGGAGTGAAGAAGAATATGAATAGGGGGCATAGAGATATGGAAGGGGCCCCACAAGGGGCTCTAGTTCAGGATCCCCCACACTCATCAAGACACTACCCTCTCAGTGCACTCTGGCCCCACAAGCTCTGTTGCTGAGCCTCTGGGAACAAGCCCGGCTACCTCTTCCTCAGTGATCCTCAATTCTAGGACCCTAAAGCTGAGAAACCCTCTCTCAGGCCTGAGGGAGCTCTGGCCAGACGTTCTACCCAGACCTTCCCACCTGTTCTTCTTCCCCTAAGGGAAAGCAGGGGAGGCCAGGGGTTTCCTCTCCCTGCAGCAGGGGTCGGGGCCAAGTGGTCCCAGATATGCTCCAATCCACCCCTGCCCAGGTGTTGATCAGCTACAGCTTCTGACTCTGATTCTGAGACGGCTACCCCCAATAGGGTCCCCTTCATGCACCACCTCACCCCAACTCAGACTCTAAAATTGGTTCTTTGGTTTTCAGTCTTGAAGCCTGCCCACAAATTAGTGTCTCTAACACAGCCTCCTGGGACATGACTTCAGGGAGGCCTGGGGAGGGGGCAGGAGACCTCCACACAAGAAGATGGTGCTGACAGAGTCCCTAACTAAAGAGAATTGCATTGGCCCTTCACTAAGCCCCCCTGCCTAAGTGGGGCAGACCTGCTCCCTGCTGTGGTAGAAAGAACCATTTCTACTCTACCAGGGCGCACTCCCCTCACCTCACACCAGGGCGCTAACTTTTGCCTTCATCAACTGTCCTGGGCAGTGTTCTGCTAAGGAAGACAGCAAAAGACTGTACTGCCCACCCCCATACACACACGTTCTTCACACTGCGGTTCATCGCTGCATTAAGCCCATGGGGGTGGAAAGAGAGCAGGGAGGCCCAGGCTCACTTCTTGCCTCAGTTTCCCAAGTTCTAAGACTAGCTCCCCAGTCCTTCAGTCTTAGACTTGGAAGAGGAAGAGCCCTCCTGGGATGGGAATGTCCCAGGGCACCAAACCAGTGTTTGTGGGGCAGGCGGCCATCACGAATAACAGGGACGAGCAGGTGAGTACTCACAGGTAAGCCGTCAGGGGGTCCAGGTCCGCTGGCACCACTGAGAGCCCGAGCTCGGAGCAGTCAGCAGACAGCATGATGCGGTCCTCCTGGCAGTGGCAGGGAGCCGGGCAGGAGGGACGCCCTGCGCCAGGCTGGGGGTCGCTGCCCGCGCGCACCGACGCGCACAGAGCGGCGCAAAGCCACAGCGCCAGGAGCCCCGGCAGGCTGTGCATCTCGGCGGCGGACTGCGGGGCACCTGGCGGGCGCTCGGACGGGCGGGCGCACGGAGCTGCGAGCGCACGGCGCACCTCCTGGTCCCGGGCGGGTCCGAGGGCTGCGCCGTCGGTGGGCACCGCCCCCGCTCGACTTGGCTTGGGCGCGGCGGCAGCGGCGGCGGCGGGACGGTGCAGTCAGAGAGGGGCAGGCATTGTTGAGTGATCTTCGTTATTCAGTTTCACAGGCTGGGCTTGGCGAGGGAGGGAGACACGGGGGTGGGGGGTGGGGGGTGGGAGGAGGAGTCAAGGAAACTTTCTACGCTGTGGCTCGCTCCCCTTCCCTCCTTCCTTCCCAGCTGGCAGGAATTTCATCGGGGGTGTTGGGGGGGGGGGGAGAGAAAGCAAAGAAACCCAAAGAAAGCTAGTAACGGCCAGCACATCAGAGACCTGTACTTGTTTGGAAAGGGTGTCCCAGAGCTTGGGTCTATGAGGTCGAATTCCTCTTGACTTTGGGAACAGCCACGGGGTCTCAAGGGACCAGGAACCATCAGGAAAAGACCCCAGAGTTCCACAGACTCCAACCCAGCTACCAGATTTTAGGCTGAAGGGAAGAGAGACCCAAGAGAGATGTTCAAGGTCACATGGCTGTTGGGAACAGCCTCAGGACTAGTTCCCAGGTCACTCCTCCGCACCCATTCCGACCAGGGAAGGAAGAAGGTCTTAAGGAGGAAGGAAGTGGTCGCAGGTTGGCAGTAGGAATGAGGAGGAACCCCCTCATGGAGGAGCCACGCCCCAACACCAAAGAAACGTGGCGTGGATTCCACCAGATGTACAGGGCATGGACATGAACTCATGTAGACTATAAGACGTGGGGTCTAGAGAGCACCCTGATCCTTGATCTCGGGACCCAGGACGGCTGAGGGGCTGCCCTCCGCACAGCTGGTTGCCAGAGCTTGCCGGCGAGTCGGCTGATTGGCGCCACCTGGAGGCTCAGTGCTACAGATGCAGCTCAAGCACCTTAAGGACTGGATTCCATCTATAATCCATCCCAGGACCTTGGAAAGCAAGGGCAAGGGGGACTAAAACTAGAGTCAAGACTCAGCTCTCTTCTTAGGCTAGCCTGGGCTAGAAGTGCTTTCTTCATGTGTCCTTTTGCTTTCTCTAGACTCCAGGCCTTTCCCTGAGCCAAGCCCCAGGGTAGAACTAGATCAGGTTGGGAGCAGTTTGACTCCCCCATGGTCCACACCACAGACACGAGGACCTCGGAGGCAGCCAAGATACTCTCCACCCTTTACTTCTAAAACACTTCACAATCCCTCTCCATCCTTGTGGACACTCTGGAGCTGGCGGAGAGGGAGCTGACAGTCAGACCAAGAAGCCAAAAGAACTGTGCTTCCAGGACTCCAGTTGAGGCCATGATAGGAGAGGAAGATGAGCCTGTAAGAAGGCCACAGAATGGTCCTCCACAGCCACACAGCCCTGCAAGCAGAAGCCTGCTCTGTATTTTCCCTACTTATCCCTTGCCTTCACCTTGGCTCTAACCCCACATACACAGACACACATACAGACACACAAAGACACAGACACACACACACACACACACACACTTCATCCTAGCTGCCTGGAAGCCAGCCTTCTGTTACCTTTGAAACAAGATGTAGACCTCTCAGCTCCTTCAGCACCATGTCTGCCTGCACACTGCCATGCTTACCACATTGGTGATAATGGACTGAACCTCTAAACTATAAGCCAGCCCCAATTAAATCTTGTTCTTTATAAGAGTTCCCTTGGTCATGGTTTCTCTTCACAGCAATGGAAACCCTAACTAAGACAGGTAGAAAGGTTGATGTCTGAATACACTGGAAAAACAACAGAAGGTTAGAGATTAGGGGACACCTGGAAAAAGTCAAGAGCATGCCAGCCTTAGGCCAACTGGCTTAGCTAGACCAAGCTCCGGCTGTCACCCCTGCCCTAGATTGAAGGATAGAGAAACAGAACACAACCATGAGTTTGACCATGCCTCTTTATTCCCAGACTCTGCCCTTTGACAGTGTGAGGCCCGGTGGATCTGTTCTGGGGAAGCCAGGCCTGGGTGGATTTGCTGGAACATGATGCCTAGGAGGGCACAGGCCACTTCTCAGCTGGAGGCAGCCCGTTCCGCAATGCACTGTTCAGGCAGTTGTAGAGGTAGATATATTGTTCCTGGGGGTAGACATAGGCAATGTACCCACATGCTTGCCCAAACCTGACAGAGAAAGGCTCCCAGGGGTCTCCTAACCCCTGCTCCTTCTGGGCAGGGCATGGTGGTCCACAGAGCCACCTGGTGGTGACCTGGATAGAGTAATCTAACAGTCACCTGTAGCTGGGACAGAACCTTTGATCCCTTTCACAGTAAGCCCCTCCCTCTTTGCCTCTCACCAGCGTTGGGGTCATAAAGCCACAGGCCTGTGACTGCTTCAGGGCCACATTGAAGACGTCCACTGTGCATTCTGTCCCTGCTTGCTGTAACAACTGTTCCATGGCCAAGAAGGTGCCCAGCTGGTTTGTGCCCTTACTGTAATTGACCTAGAGTTAGATGTGGGACCTCTGGGGACGGGGCAGTTTCCAGGGACATGGGGAAACCAAGGTTAGTTCTAAGGACTGAGAAATAATGCTAGGCACTTGATTGGCCAGCCAGGCTAGAGCCCTACCAAATCCCAGCAGATTGAGCAGAGGAGACAGAGCCTTGGGAGACTACCCTTTGACCCGTAACCCAAGTTAACATGTGTCATTTGTCAACAGCACCTGGAGTGGCTGAGCAGGGTCCCTGGCTTCTCGCTATTGCCCCGGGAGCAGCACTGGCTCACGGCATCAAGGAAGGTCAGTAGGGTGTTAGCTGGGAGCTCACACCCAGCCTCGCAGCATGGATACTGCAGGCATTGAACCTGCCTTTCCATTCCACTCTCCCCCTGGAGGAAGGGCAAGGTCAACATTAGCGCTCAGGAGGGTGACAGGGGGAGCCAGCATGGGATTCTCATACCACAGCCCTCTGCCCCAAGTCCTATGATCTCAACACCTACGTGTATGACTCTGAAGAGGGTACTGGGCCAGCCAGCTGTGTTGCTCTCAGCCACTCTGTGCACTGTCACCATGTCTGTGACAATAGGCTCCATCTCCACTGGCCAAATGTCTTGTGGCTGGACGGAAACAGGCTTCTCAGTCAGCTTCCAAATTCTCCACCCATGCCCTGGCTGAACAGCGCCATATACTCCTCCTCTCCCTGCCCCCATTCCCAGAGCCACACATCCTGCCCCTCCACTCCCCTCACCTTCTCCTTGGTATCAGGCAGGCCCAGGGAGACGAGCACATAGGCACCATGTTCCCACACCGTTTCCCAGAGTTCCTTTGGTCCAGCCGAGCCAGTCAGCACCACATGATCACGACCAGATGGTCCACCCTGCAGAACACAGCTTGTTGGTTCCCAGGGATTAAGGCGTCTCCTGAGCATCCATCTGTACTATAGTAGCCCCTAGGACCCAGACTCAGCCCCAGGTAGGGAAGCACAAATAGTCAAACAGGGCTGCAGGATCAGCATCATCTCACAGGAAAGAGTGAAGCTTCCAGCACATTATCAGCAGGGCTCTCCTCCACCATGGCCAACTGCTCCTGAGAATGATGACCTGGGAGAGGATGAGGATCAGGTTGCCAGGGGTCTCATAGTATGTATGCATTTGCTCCACTCCACCCAACATTGTATCCACTGAGACTCACAGGAGACAATGCTGTTCTGATTATAGTCAGGAGGGGGCAGCAGAGAGCCAGTCTTATCCTTGATGGCCTGCTTCAGGAGCTGGAAAAAAGACGGACATGGTAAGGTTAGGCAGGAAGAACTACCCCATGGTCACTCATTCCTTGGCTCAAAGTATACCCTGTACTCCTTCAAGAAACCGGCATTGGCATTGGCTGCCCTCTTGGCACAAGCTTGTGCAAAATTCATCACAGAGATGGGGCCGGAGCTGGAGGAGGGAGGAGAAGAGAGAAAGCACTTGGTTGTCCAGCCCCTGCTTCCAGTCCTCCTCTCTGCTGGGTCGAGTGCATGGGAGCTCAGAGCCCTAGTGGGAAGCACAGGACACCAGCGCCCACCTGCCTGGATCTGAGGGGAGCTGACTTACTCTGAGGCGTCAGAGGGCCCTTCCAGAATCTTGTTCAGCAGACAGCTGTGCAGGAAAATGTATTGACTCTGCAGAGAGAGGGCACTGACATGCTAAGTGGCCTTGGTCCAGGAGGGAAATGGTCCTGGTCCCAACCCACCAGGAAGGGGCGTGGCAAGTGGGACTAGAGAGTCCTGATTTGTCTGTAGCATCAAGGGTGTCAGGAGCCAGTACCTTCTCTCCTTTTACAGAAAGGCAAGTGGCAGTCAGGGTGAGATGGTAGCCTAGGTGTGACCCTCACCCCATGCCCTTCTGCATGCCCCCATGAGCTTCTTTTCCTGCTCTCATGAGGCCGTCTACCCCCTTCCACTCCTTTGGGTCTAAGCTGCCCAGCCCAGTACACAGGGCCCTCACCAGGGTCTGGATCATGAGGGGCCGGTGCAGCCGCAGTATGTACACAGTGTTGAACACGTCAGCCACCTGCTCTTCCTCTAGTTGTTGCAGCAGGCGCAAGAGAGCCACAAAGGTGCCCGTCCTGCCCACGCCTGCACTGTAGGGACAGCCCGTGAAGACTAAGCACGGGAGGGAAAGGGCTCCTAGAAATCCAGAGCACTTCCCCTGCTCACGGCCAGCCAGGCCCTCCACCTCGCCCCCACCTGTCCTCACCTGCAATGCACCAGGATGGGTCCCTTGCCCTGAGTGGCTTTCACCTGTTCCTGCACCAGTTCCACAAAAGCGAGCAGAGAGCTGGGAGCCTCGGGGACACTGTGGTCTGGCCAGGTAGTGAACTGCAGCTGCTTCACGTGCCTCTGTTTTTGCTCGACCCCCTGGGGAGGGTGGGGAAGGGCTGTGCTCGTTTTTTTTCTTAACCCCAGGACCTCTTCCTAATCTCAGAAACCTTCCTCACCAACTCTTTAAGGGCGGAGGTAAGCTCCTGCTTCAAAGGGCGGGCCCACGCCCTTGCCCCGTGTGGATCTCTGGTCTCCCCTAGTCTCCTGGTGTGCCTCTACCTCCCAAA